AACAGATGACACATTGTTGAATACCAACAAGTTGAACGCATCGTCGGCGATACCCTTTAGGATATGCGCAACTTTTTCAGGTTCAGACATATTTTCGTCAGCTTGGCGGCATAGTGAAAAGACAGCCTGAATATAACCAATGTAGGGCTCCGTGGAAGACTGTGCGCAAGTCGACAGCTCATTTTTCGCAGCTTCACGACGACCAGAGATGTTGCCAAAAAGCTCACGGATCTTTGCCTTGAAGCTTTCCCAGCTTGTTATGTCATGCTCGTGGTTATCAAACCAAACACGAAGGGTTCCGTCGAGATAAAAGATGACGTTTGCGAGCATAAGAGTCGGATCCCACCTGTAAGTGGCGCTGACGCGTTCGTAGAGGCGTAGCCACTGGTCGACGTCGGAACCCTCGCTGCCCGAGAACACGCCGGGGTCTTTAATCGTGGGAAGCGTCACGAAAGTTGTTGCAGGCGCTGGGTTGACAGGTTGGGCAGAAGGGGGAGCGACCGGAGAGGGTGTATCCGAGTCTTGGGTGGTCATGTTGTAAGCCGCGAGGGAGCGTCCGCTTCGGAGTTCCTTGGCGAGGACGGGGATTGCACAACTCCACCAAATATGTTACGGGAAGGAGACTGACTCAGAGGGGTAGTCACCGATGTATTTTCAGCCGGTTAGGCGAGCAGCGCCAGCCCCGCAGATTAGATCGCGCCAGTCTATCTCCTTCGTCTTCTTCAGCTCCATGCACTGGCACGTAGCAATAATATTATGACTTTTGATTGGAAAGCTGTCTATTTATTTACGTTAACATGAATGCACTCATTCTGTTCAGCATACTCTCAAGCGACCGCGAACGAGTCAGCAAACGTCGATTTATTATTGTGGGGATTCAAAGATGTTACAAAAAAAATCTCTGCACAGTCTACATAAAATTTATATAACCACGGTGCACCTATTTCGATTCGTGATCTAATCCTTTTTATTCTTCATTTATATTTTAGGTACTTACGACGCGCTTACACAGCAACTACTGAAAAGTTCGGTTTAATAAATGTTTACCGCGTGTAACAACAATTTAATGTATTTAAATGACATCACATGTCGTTTCTCATGCGCTAAAAACTCCCAATACTAGTACAGAACCGAAGAAACAGGCTTATGAGTCACCGAACATGCGCCGGCAAGCAGTATACATGAATCTATAGCGCTTTAACGCCGACACGGAAGCCGCAGCCCAAACATAAATTTCAGTAATTGAAAACGGGCTGGGAAGTCATTTTGAGTGCTGCACAGTCATAAAGCAATCAGCAAAAGAAATTTCCATCATAAACGCTGATGTACAGATTAATGGCTATAGCAGACGATTCCAGGAGCAATCTACACTAAACGCGCCCCTGACGGCAACTCCTCTCGATTTCACGCAGCGTTTTCTTGACCACTCAATACGAATTTTATGGGGAAGTTGCCCAGTATTGTTTTAACACCTCGAGCAGGACAGACTAGCCGACAGAGTCCAGCAGCCATTACGTAACGAGCGCGCGTGCAAATGGCGACGCCTGAGTCCTCTCCGACGTCGTTTGTGGAAGGACGCCGCTCAAAGACTTCAAGACGAACGGGAATTTTACAGCAGATTTATTATAGTCAAGATACAGCGTGTGTCGTAGGTAGAAAACTGTGATCATCATGAGCCGGCATGTGCTCTATGGCCGCCTGAGCAGCCTGTAGAGGTGCTTAACAAGGGAAGCTGAAACGTGCCAACCACCTCTGTGACCCAGCCCTGTGCGACGTATATTGCGAACTGGGCATTTTTTTTTCGCGTTTTCGCAAACCACGTATGTTTTTCTAACACAGTCGATAAGTATTTATAGCAAACCTTGTCACTTCATATAACTCGGTGACATAACTCAGTGACATTTAACTCGGTGACTAAAGTAGCCAGCGTCTGCTTACGAAACACTCGGCTTTTTGAAACATTGTTTACGCGACGCGCCAGAACACACAGAACTTCTGGGTCGCAAGTTCATTATCACAACAAGCATTAAGTACCCCTCTCACATGTAGAGCCCACATCAGCTCAACGTTGTTAGCGCACTTGAGGTTTCTGAATCATGCCGTCTGATTTGTTTGATCATCTTTATCGCGCCATACCAGTGTATATGATACCAAAAAAGCAATCAACTCTATCCATCTTTGCACATCGTTACCACATGTCGAGTCTACTGTTGATCGGCAATGTTCCGTACTACGCGGAAGAATTCCTATTTAGAAACACGAAGATTTCCTATTTCGGTGATTTTTTCCCGGCAAACGTTGTCGAAATTTCCAGCATATTTCTCTGCCCAACAGTACTAATTTCCTCCCCCCTCCACGCCACACATACTATAATTACACGTGCCTGACGAACTGACTACTTTTGAAATCATGACTAGCCCCTCCACAGCCGCAGAATAAAAAAGTGTGGCAGCTTGGGCTAGTTGGTATGGCATGACGATAGTTATAGCGCGCGAACAAAACGACGACACAGAGAACAAAACGATGACACACCTTCGTGTCCTTCTTGTCCCTGTGTCGTCGTTTTGTTCTCACGCTATAACTATCGTCACGCAGAACAAAAGCATGACTTTATTAATTGAGATACTCTTAGCACACTGCACAATGTGGGCTTCAAAACGAACACCAATAGTGAACTTGAAATCACTCCGCGTAAATATCACCAACAAATCTCAAGGGCTATGCTTGCGTGGTGCATTCATAAGAACCGATTACAGCAGACGAAGCATCCTGGGACCGCTAATTATCGGTCATCATAGAATAATTTAACCATTTTTGAAAGCACTATGCTTTCTTATTGCGCAGGGAACGTTTCAGAAAGAAGACAGAATAGAGGGCACTATCCTCTCTGTATTCTATATGGTGCGCTATATCCTATCTGTCTCCTCTCTGAAACGTTCCCTGCGCATTAAGAAAGTATATTTCTTTCAAAAATGCAATACCAACCAGCAAAAGTAGCCACTCTTTTGCAGAATATAACCATTACGGAAATTCCCTACAATATCACGAAGATTCTCTTTTTTCCTTCGGCTCAGAATGGCAGGCGGAAGTTCCCCGAAAACAAAAAAATTCCCCGCACAGAACATCACTGCCGTTGATCGAAACTTTTTTTTCCTTTTTCTAAGGAGCTTTCATGTGCTTGCCTACGCGCACACATGAAGTCTCCCTAGCTTTTTTATTATTTTTGTGGCAGCGCCACTCACTGACCCAGTTCAAAAATTGGCCCCGTATCTGCATGTAATCTGCAAATGTCGTCGAAAGACGATAGTCTTGCGTGTGGAGAGAGTGAACAAAACATTTATTTGATGTTTTGCGCAAGAAAATCGGTGAATGGTATTCCGGTGGCGCTGCGTTAGAGTGCCTCGAGCGTGCAGTGGAGGCTCACGAGCGCATCAAGTCATGTCACACGTGAGCCATGAACGCCATCTGGCAGTTTCTTTTGGAAAAACAAAGCGCGTGGCCGTGGGCGCCCGTCTCAGAGGTGATAAGGTGCAGAACGCGAGGCGACGGGTAGGTGCCACCACCATCTTGTCTTAGCAAAGCGTTGGAAACATTTCCCGTTCCGTGCAAGCGTTGCATGGTAAGCACAGCGTGATAAGCACTACGGTCCTTAAAATTACTTATGTATGCGTTTTGTAGTAAGAGATACAAAATGCAGAATATATGCATGTTGTAATGGTGCCCCAGACATGCACAATAATTGCTTTTTAATTGACAATTGCACAAGCATGAACGCTCAACCTTGAGCAACATTGGTGGTCTCATAGGTGTTCTGTGTTGTCGCTACAGATCGGGTCGGCCGTTTCAAGTACCCAACGCCGGTAAGAGTGGACAAACAAACAAATGTACAGACAGACATAAAGAAAGACCAAAATTTTTGTGTCGAAGGTCCCCAAGAAAGACTATGGTTTGTATTAAATACACTATCTGCTTACTTCATCGCTCAAGCCATGAAATCGCTTGGCCACTCAGCAAGATTGCGACGCTTTCCGCCTCTTTTATAGCGCATGCAACATCCGGTTGACCAGGTTTCCCCCACAGTGTGCTGATATTACCGTCCGAAAATATTCCTCTACGGTGCCTACTTGCCACGGAGTTACATGTGTTCATTATTTCCCAACCTTTTTTCTATATATTAGTAGTTTATGTAAGACCTCCTTCAGCGGTCTTTAAGGGAATAAAGTGCAAAAAATTGTCACATATGTCCAGCTGTCGTAGACTTGCGCGGAAACTCCGACTTTGCACTGTGGGGATCGCAGTTGCAGTATTTCAGCTCCTATCAGTTAAATTACTAGAACAAGAAAATTATCTTTCTCGCCCCTGTAATTCTATCGCTATGGCTTCAGTTATTTCAATGACAGCAGTAAATCCAACAACTGAAAGTTTCACACTCCAATATGCGTATAAAAATGTACAAGACAAAAAAAATCACATGGGCAAACAGACATTGTTGTATAAAGATTGTGTTCGACAAAACGTGTTGTGCGCTTATTCCCTGACAGTGTAGCCGAATTGCTCTTAAAATGGTGATGTTATTTGCAAGCTTAACTTTCACAATGCCATTTTAATCCAATGTGCTGTTGTAATGTGGCCTCGGCAGAGAACGCTCATCATACATGACACACAAAAAATACTCTGATCACGATCAATTATTGTTCATTACCCCAAGCGCTTCCTCCACAGTTTTGCTGCGATATTTTCTGAGTTGTAGACCAGCCATATGCAAACATATTTCACCTCGGAAACACATTTGATCATCATACCTCACTGCAGAAAAACCTGCCTATATTGACATGTCACCAAAATGTATACTTCTTTGTCACGCGGTTAAAAAGAACACAGCGCAAGGACAGCGGATGAACTGACCTTGAAGTTGAAGGGCGGCTATCAAAGGCCGTTTCAAAGACCGTAATAAAGAGCACTGCATTTTAAATAATACGAGTGTTTGTACTTTGTTATTCATCTAAAGCCATCTAAAAGCGCCCTGTAGTACCAATAGGACCGCTAAAAGCATCAAGTGCTCGGGCGACGGGCTCAAAACTTTTTCGTGAGGATGACTGCGATACGTCCATGGCTGGCTCTGCTGGCTGTAGGGGTTTGTATAAGGTAAAGTTGCGATTCTTTTTTTTTCCTATGCTTCCAACGATTCTTGTTGTTATATTGTGAGCCTAAGTTATACAAGTAACCCTAATGTTGGAAGTCTGTTGATTTCAGTTGTATTCGAACAACGTATTCCAAACATTCTACCTTCCACGGTGATATCTGCTTTTAGTAGCCAAGATCGCAATAAAAAAAATTTGATTGTATATTTAAGAATCATAATTATGAAACAGCACATCACGACAGCAAACGAGACATGAAAAAAAAATGATGCACAGTAATTATAATACGGCGGCTGCATTTCCGATGGAGGCGGAAATGTTGTAGGCCCGTGTGCTCAGATTTGGGTGCACGTTAAAGAACCCCAGGTGGTCGAAATTTCCGGAGCCCTCCACTACGGCGTCTCTCATAATCATATGGTGGTTTTGGGACGTTAAACCCCACATATCAATCAATCAACAGTAATTATAAGTCTTCAATGCTAGTGCTTTATACTGCTTTTGTTTTTGTAGACAACTAAAACATGTTGGGTCACAGACTCCACTAAGCCTCCCCGGTGAGAGGTTAAGCAGTACACAGAGCTGCGTCTGACGCTACGTGTACAATTAAAGTCCAGTTAGACCTCTTTTTTTTTTTTTGGCAAACGATAACGCTCGACGCTTGAAACAAAAGAACAAACAAACGCAATAAGACTATTTTTTCCATAGATGACAACCGCAGTGTCGTGTATGCCTTCACACCGGGAAATCCGGTTTCTACCTGCCACAGTGGCCTACTGGTTATGATGCTCGATTGCTGATCCGAAGGTCACGGAATAGGATCCCGGCCACAGCGTTCGTATTTTCGATGGAAATGAGAAGCTCGGGGCCCGAGGACTTAGATTTTGGTGCCCGTTAAAGAACCGCAGGTGGTCGGAATTCTCGTAGCGCTCCACTACGGTGCCTTTCGTAATCATATCGTGGTTTTTCGACCTAAAACCCCAGCAATTATTATTAATGCGGCGTCTATAAGCGATGACAAGATGCAGCACGATGGGCCTTTCGGCTCTAGCTGTAGCTCCAGGCTGGTTTCAAACGGCTGCCGCCGAATTCCACCACTGCGGACCAGTCATAGTGATTTCGGCAAAAGAGCCAAAAATTCACAGCATATCGGAGGAGCGAATGAATGATGAGTGGGGCGAATAGTATTTCATTCAAAACTAACTGAGTGCAAGTTTGCCGGAATTGCATATGATTACATGATTGTTTTATAGCTAGTATTCTACGCTTAAAGTTACTTTTCATGATCCCCTTTGTCATTTCTGACACTATTAAAGCGCATAGGGGTTTTATTTAAAAATAATGAACAAAACCGAAGACGTTCTATAGCAGGCATTATTTCGAACTTATGATTACTTGAAGGCAAGCGCCCCAGCAATCGTTTTAAATAAATTGACAACAAAAACACACCTTGCTCTGATTTCCACAAGGGGTTCTGAAACTGTATCTGAATCTATATCTGTAGATCGGTGCTGGACCTCTATAAAATACTACTAAAGTTACAATGCGTTATGGGAACTCTGCTGACTCCGAAGCACTTTCTTCGTGTTCTGTATGTGAAAATAGTTTCGCGCATGTGCAATATAACACCCGAGCCAGCAAGCAGCCGCAGCATCCTGTGTCACCTCCGCTGGCCACAGAACATTTGGCGTGACGAGAGACCGAGCAAACCATTAAGGCCTCCAATGCTAAACAATCTCGCGCAGCAGCTGAACTTAGTTGTGACTAGAATTATGAGGACTGCATGACGCTTATTTATATTGCAAGAAATAGCCAGCAACTTTGTAACCTTCAAGAACAACATTTTTTTTTTTCAGATAGCAGGCCTGTGCACTTCACTTTCTCAAATCATGGTATTTGGACCGAAATTTCCACTTGCCAGACAAGGCGTGACGAAAAAGGTGACATCAAAATTTCGGTCCAATCAGCATGCTGTTATGTAGCCGGCTGGCTGCACAGGCCTGCTGTCTAGAAGGCGCTGGCTCCAGTTTCTAAGCGCAGAGTGGTACATTCGGAACTCGCTAGCTAACGTTTTTCCTTCTCTTTTATACAGTTATTTCCTTCATACCATTTGCCGAAGCGAAGATAGAAAGTAAGCGATAGCATCCGCGGACGAAGAACGCGTGAATAACACTGGCTTCCGAGAGCCAGGCTGGCGTGGTGTATAGTAGCGATGCCCTTATTCTCCACCAAGGGAACACATGGTGTGCATAAGTAGCGACACATGTTCGCTTTCACCGCTCTGCGGCATCGTGACTCCCTGTCCCATGAGCAACAAAACACCCTTCGAATTAGTCCAGTAGTTTTACACCGAAAGCTATAATGAGATCACAACTCGTGTCACTACTTGGCGAGGCGGGCATTCCATACCACATTCAAAACTCAATAGAACACAAGTCGTCTCGTTGCGCTTACTTCAAACCCATTCGTACCCGTCGTTAGTATACCTAAATATAATTTATACTCACCAATACCCCGATGCTACCTGCGCCGCTTGATGCGGGCAGACCGTTACATTATCCCACATGCTCTGGCAGTACGGGTCGCTTGGACCGACTTATCGCTAACCCGAGTGGGATGCTCTTCTGCACAGCTCAGAACTTCAGGACCAAATCCTGGCCGTCCAGAGTGCCCGCGACAGGGCCGTCAGGCTAGACCTGCCGGTCCCCACGTGGGAGTAGCCGGGTGACGCGTGGCAACCTCAGCGTCTGCACTGGACCATAATTAAGTTGTTCTCACTCACTCACTCACTCACTCACTCACTCACTCACTCACTCACGCGCAGTTGTCCACCGCCGCCACCGCCGGTGTCCGTAACCACATCGCGCGAAGTTAGAAAAAACATTGTCCTGGCCCTCACCTGAGTTTCAGTTGCGTGACTGTGGCTCACTGGCTGAGGTGAGTTAGACTGATAATCTAAACATTGGCAGATCCCACGTATAGTGGGAATCGATTATACGCGAAGCATGAATGAAAAAAGGTTTGTATGTCACTTTAAAATCAGGCAACATTACGAGGGGGAGTTAAATGATGCCGTACATGACTTCCGTGTCAAGATTATCATGTTTGAATGTGTCGTCTACCTTCGTCATCTATTCACGTCACGTGATACGAAATTTTGTATATGTGGAGCTAGCGATACGACCGCGAGCACGCCATTAGGGTGGTATGTGGTCACGTTGTTACATGATACGCGCGTCAGAATCATCATGTTTGCACCAGTCATATACTTTCGTCATCCATTGACCTCACGTAACACCAAATTTGGTATATGTGGAGCTAGCAAAACGGCCGCGAGCACTTCCTGAAGGACCCAATATACTCCAATGTAGCGTTGACGCGCGCGCACACTGGGCACAGCGACTCTACCTTAGCAAAACGCGATCACTCTATAATCTGACGCCAGGCGCGTACGGCGCGACCAGCGTCCGTCGGCGTGGCTCGACGGCAACTGGCGCGAAATGAGACATGCTGCAATTCGCGCCGATGCATTACCCAGACAACACTGCGTCTCCCTCTTTTCGTGACGGAAGGATGCCGGACGCGCTGAAACGCGCATGCGTCAAAGCAACGCAGCACGGCACGCACCTGCGAGTATGTGGCAGAACTGGCACCTGGCGTGGCAACGCCGCCGTGACGCGACGAAATGAACACCAGCAAGCACGCGCACCGCGTCACGTCGAAATGTATTGGCGCCTTGACTGTGGCATGTAGCCATGTTCTCACATGACACCCATCTCATGATTATTATGTTTACACCAGTCACATACCTTCGTCATCTATTGACGTCGCGTAATATCAAGTTTGGCATATGTGAAGCTAGCGAAACGACCATAAGCGCATCAAGAGTGCGGCATGTAGTCGTGTTGTTACATGACACGCATGTCGTGATTATCATGTCTGGATGTGTCATTTACCTGTGTCGTCCGTTCGCGTTCCCTAATACCGAGTTTGGTACATGTGCAGCTAGTGAAACGGGGGCGAGCACATCATGAGCGTAGCATGTAGTCATTTTGTTACATGACACGCATCTCATGTTTATCATGTTTGCACCAGTATCGCACCATCGTTTTCCATTCACGTCCCGTGATACCCAATTTGGTATAAGTGAAGTTAGCGAAATGGCCGGCAGCACATGATGAGCGTGGCATGTAGTCATGTTGTTACATGACGCGCATCTCATATTTATCATGTTTGCACCACTATCATACCATCGTTATCCCTTAACGTCCCGTGATACCCACTTTGGTATAAGTGAAGCTAGCGAGATGGCCGGCAGCGCATGATGAGCGTGGCATGTAGTCATGTTGTTACATGAAACGCATCTCATGATTATCATCTTTGCACCAGTCAAGTACCTTCGTCATTCATTCACGTACCGTAATACCAAATTTGGTATATGTGACGCTTCCGAAACGGCCACGAGCGCATCATGAGCATGGCATGTAGTCATGTTACAACATGACACACATGTCATGATTTTCATGTTAGGGTCTGTCGCTTGTTTTCGCCAAGCGTTCATGTCATACCATACCAGTTTAGCGACATGCCATGTGAACAGAACCACTGCAAAAGCTGCAGGACCATGAAATGTAAATCACGACATTCATGACATACATGTCATGATTTTCATGTTATGCATACAGTCATGTTATGCCATACCAAGTTTGGTAACGATACCATTATCGAAACGGCCAGGAGAGCTAAAAGTCCTAGGTGGCCAAATAGATAGATAGATAGATAGATAGATAGATAGATAGATAGATAGATAGATAGATAGATAGATAGATAGATAGATAGATAGATAGATAGATAGATAGATAGATAGATAGATAGATAGATAGATAGATAGATAGATAGATAGATAGATAGATAGATAGATAGATAGATAGATAGATAGATAGATAGATAGATAGATAGATAGATAGATACGCTCAAAGGCACCGAAATTAACTAAGACAAGCTTCG